CAACCAAATTCAAAAATTTCTTCGCCCAAATGCTTCAAATAAAGTCTAGATTTGTTTTAGCGAAAAAAAAATTTTGGGGTTAGGTGCACTTTAACAATGTTTGCCTCATTGCCTGACTAGTTACCCTCAGTATATTACAGGACTCTTAGGTAATGTCGTAATCTTTTTAATGTCTCTTTTGTCTCAGACATGTCTAAATGATATCCAAGAGGCTTCATCATTGCAGTGCCCTCAAGCACCTAGTGGAAAGCTTGACAGCCTTCAGAAGGCTTGTGAAAAGAAGTTGTCAACATTTATTCAGAACTTAAATCATGGTAAATGTTGATACTTAATTTGGGCTTGAAAAAAAAGTTGAATTCCAGCTTGCCCTGAGGACAAGTATCTCTCAGATATTGCTTGCCCTGGGAAAGTCTTAGTTTGCTCTTTCAATGATTTAGTTGGCAGACGACTTGCCTGATCACCTGGCCATTGAGCAAGTGGGAATGAAAAGTTACTTGCCCAGAAGGAGAATCTACTTGTTTAATGCCTTGCACCTATAAAGTGATGTTGATTTAGCCTTTGGATGGAATCATGCAGACTATGTACTGATTGCAATTTTTTTGTTGTTTTGAAGGTGGTGATGCATCAACAAACATACCATCAGTTACAGGAGGACCTCATGACAAAATAGCTAATGGATCAACATTAATTGAAATCGACTGCTCTGCTACTCAAGGCCGATTTCTAAAGGTTAGTTTTGAAAAGAAAATGCAGATTACGTTTAGGATCAAAATTAATAAAAAATAATTATGTTGCTTCTTTACATTAAAAAAGAAATGAACAATATTGCTATCTCAAAACTAATTGCTATATAGCCTTGTTCAGTTCACTGTAGACATCTTACTTTTCTAACAAATGAACTAGAATTTGGCTTAGATTTTTTTATTTAATGGGGTGGTGAGCAAAATTTATTTTATACGAACTACTGATACTCCTGGGATCAAACCATTTACTATAAAATTTATTTGCCAAAGTTCATTTTTTCTCATTTTGAGTTTGAGATCTTTATTCTTTTTTCATATGTGCAAGTCTCAATTTTCAATGTTGCTTGCTACATGTTCATTATCCCAGGCTATAGAACTCTTGTAATGTGTTTTTTGATCACCTGCAGGCTTCAGATGATATCCGTGCTGGTGATACACTAATCTCTGAACCACCATATGCTGCAGTCCTTCTACCAGAAAACACTCTCTCTCATTGTGACTGTTGTTTCCAGCCTTTGGTAGCTCCTTTTCCGTAAGTGGACATAAGACTTATATTTGATGTAAAAGAGATATTTTAGAAAAACTGTCAGAGATACAGAAGGGCCTGAATATTTGGGTTGGAAACCAAAACATGTAACATCTCTCAACTTATCTGGATGAGGATTCATTTTCTCAACCATGATTTGGTTTAAATGCAACTTTTCCAGGTTTAACAGATGTTTCTATTTCCTACTCAGATGTCGTCTCTGCTGTGAAGTGCAGTATTGTTCCCAGTCTTGTCGTGACAAAGCCTGGTCACAGTACCACAAAGTAGAATGTAGCCTTGGTCCACTTTTGAAAATGGTAGGTATTGTGTCTTTCACCTGCATTAACAGCGCTATCTGATTTGTCAAATGAGTGGGGAGTCTTACCTTGCAGTCACTTGCAGGTTTTTTTTGCTGGGGACAACGTACATTCTCATATTTTGTTTTGTCCTTAGTAAATATCTCAAGATGTGATCCCAGCGGAGCCCTCAGAATTTTTCTCATTTGAATCTGACAGATAGCATCAACCAAGAATATTGTGTTTAAATGTTTTGATGTTTGTGTCTTGTAGATGGACACCTTTTTCCAGTTGTCACTGAGAATCCTTCTGGCAACAGGAACCGAGAATATATTTGGTAAGTTTTTCTAAGATTTTTCTTTCCTCCACGTGCTTGACAACTTATTTCTGTAACAAGAAATTAGATGCTGATCACAGAGTTAATCCTGATCATACTAATTTTCTCATTTGTTTGCAGAATTTTTACAGGCATCATCGAGTAAGAAGACTGAAAATACAAATATCAGCAGAATGTCTGGTTGTGGTCCAGAGGGAGAATACCTAGGTAGGTCATTGCTGCAATGGTCTTCACATATTCTTTGAATAGATTTTTTGTGTATGGTCTTTAGTTCTAGGTGAACTTAATGCAGGATACCTTTACATGTACTTTGCTAAGTTTAGTTAACTCTTATACCACTCTTCTTGATACTTGATATTTGTCACACAGTGTGTCTTTGTTTACAGGTGATTATGGCTCAGTGTTTTCTCTAGTGACCAACACAGAGTTACAACCTGTGAAGACCTTGATGTCTCATGCTCTGGTATGTACTGTAAATTTTTGTTTTACTTCACTACACTTTAAAACTATCAATGTTTTATTGTCTACAGCACTGCATGTAGCTTAAGGTGCACCAAAGTAAATCTCATCTCATTCATTTTCAGAACTGTGTGCTACTAGCAGAGTTTCTTGAAGGTGTCATGGTTAGAGAAGAGGATTTAAATCAAAGACCAGTGAGCTGTGAGAACTGCACAAAGAACAGGCTGTGTCAACCACATGAGCTGCAGCATGAACACCTTGAACAATACTACAATGTTCAAAACTTCCAGAGCTTTTTCCCTAACGAGACTTGCACAAGTTCCTTAGCAGGGGATGTGATAGGCTGCCTCCTGTTTCATCACTCTCAACAGATGGCTTGCAATGTACATGCCATCACTGCTATTGTGTCAACTGGTGAAGACAAAACACATCTGAAGACCAGTCCTCCATCCAAAGATCATGTTGTATCCAGAGAACAGAAGAGGATAGCAACTGCTGTGTATCCAACAGCGTCATTGCTAAATCATGCCTGTGATCCGGATGTCATTGTTAGGTGAGTGTATAGTTCTACAATGTCTTGAAATCTTTTGTGAAACTAGAGGGTATGCAAACGATACAACATGTTCTCGGATTGGCAGTTATCGTAGCCAAGTGTATCCAAACTGAAAGCAGTTCTGATTTGGATCACGCAGCTTACAGAGTTACAGTAGATCCCATACATGATATTTTTGTTATCTCTGACTGTGTTGAGAGAGACATGCAGAAATTCTTTTAAAATGCAACTGATGTAAACCTGCTTTTCGTGATGCTCCCTGGTATTAGTATCTAGCTAATGAATTCAATTTTAATTGCACCTGTGTAAATACTTAAAATTTTACTTTGTTTCAAATTCAGCTTTGTTGATGGCCATCTAGTGGTGAGAGCAACACATAACATTGCCAAAGGCTCGGAGATATCTCACTGCTATGGTAAGTACAACTGCTGGGGTTAAGCTAATAATTGTGCTGGAAATGTTATTGCCAAATGATTTATTTCTCCCTTCTGCCATGGATTTTGTTCAGCACTGGTTCTGAGAAATTGTTGGTATATGCTGATATCTCATTATTCTCATTCTCTATCTGCTCAGTGCTGGACGATATACACGTACTGATGTTGTATCCAAAAACAAGTCTAATGTCACTCTTTCTTGGTGTTAATGGTTTTGAAGGCAACAGGTTATTTTGGTTTCTCTCACCTACTTAACTTTGTTATTGTCTTTGTTCCTGGACAGGTCCTCATGTAAGTCGCATGGGTCGTGAAGATCGTCAAAAGCTGCTGTACAAACAGTACTTTTTCACTTGTCAGTGCACAGCCTGCAGGAGGTAAGCTTCTATCTCATGACCTCATTCACTCACGTTCATTATTCTGTCCTGAGCTTGTACCTGGACAGTGGCTTAGTAATTCAATTGCACGGTCAGACTATAAATTCTTCTTTTAGAGAAATTAGTTGTTCTTTAGTTCTAGTAAGACAGACGTATTGAAGCTGTTTGGTAATCTAACTGGGGACTGTCTCTCTTGCAGTGACGAAGAAATGGAGAACAAGAGACTCTGTTTCTCTGCCTTTGCGTGTCCTCAGTGTAAGCATGCCATGAAACTGTTCCCTGTGAGTGATGGAGTCATTGGAACGTGTCAGAACCGCGAATGTAACTTGGAGAAAAACATGCTGGATGAGTGCAGACTGGCGCGCGAGGCAGAGTTGCTCTTTATTAAGGGAGTGCGGTTGTTAGAAAGAGTTGGAGTCAAGGAGGCCCTTGACGTGTTCCATGAATGTTTGCGGCGGCGGAAAATTCTTCTTCATGCGTATAACAAGGACCTGGCTGAAACACACGATGCCATTGCAAGGTACTAGTTTTAACTGTGTGGAAAAACCTTTTTCTGTTTATCGTGTGGTCAGGCTCAGAAGAAGGTAAAGATCCGCAGCCACTTGTGCTTTCCAAGAGGAAAGAAGGTGTGATTGGATGAGGGCGGGAGATGTCTGACATTTTAGGCTAACCTTTCGTTTGCCTTTTATCTGTTATTTGAGTCACGCAACATTCTTCAACTTCTTCTCTGTTGGTTCCCACAGGTGTTATGCCATGAATGGCGACTTCAAGAAAGCTTCTCATTACTGTTCTCGCAGCTGTGAAGCGGTGGAAAAAGCTTTCGGTTCATCAAGCGTGGAGTACGCACACGAACTTCACAAGCTCTCGCAGCTGTTGTTCAACGACAGACAAGTCAAAAAAGCACTCTCTACAATCGACAAAGCCACTAGTCTTTTGTCACGCCATTATGGACGGAGCAATCCAGACGTGAAGGAACTGAGTGAGATGAAACGCTGCCTTATTGCTGTTGGCGGTCATTCCAGAAACAACAGCACGTGACGGTCACGCAAGGGTTATTAGGCTTTAAAGTATACTTGTCGGACATTTCTAGAATAAAAAGTTTTTTTTCGTCTTTTGTTTCCGGCTTAGTTAGACGTTTGTGCTACTCGGGTGATACGATTGTGTGACGAGAGGTGCAAATCAAATTCACTTGAATCACACAATCTTCCAGGACCCAAGTTATCAGTTAGATGGAAGGAAAAGAAAGAAAAAAGAAATTAAAAATGGACGGGTTTACATGAAAGAATTTTGTTACGATTTTGTGAAAGTATCTTTTATACTAAAAGTTTGGTGTACAATTTGGTGTTGAGTTATTTATGTGTCAACTCCTGTAAGGGAGAAAGTGTCTTTAAAAAGAACGCGTTACTTGTTTTGTTTAAAAAAAACAGCAAGAAATGGTAGACTATAGAGTATGACGTAAATCAGAGAGATTCCAAGAAATACTATATACAAGTAGAGCAAAAAGTAAAGAACATTGAAGAACTAGAATTCATACTGGAAACGAGGTAGAATTTATTGTGTTGTTTAAAAGAAAACTACTAATGTCATTGTTTAGAACAAGGATTTGAGATGAAAAATGCCTACAATGCTTTATTCACTCTAAACACTTAAAACACATTTACATAGAAAGTGACAAAAACTACAATAACTTAAGAAATAGATATGTTTAAAGTTGAGCCAGGAGGATGAATGAACCTTGCGTTTCTACTTCCTGTTTCTCTACATGTGCAGAACACAGTTCGCGCTCTTTCTTTAAGACTGCGAGGGCCTCTTTCCTTCTAGAATACTCGACTTTTCTTACTGAACGAGGTGATTGAATTAAAGTTCAAAACGCTTTAACATCATGTTGTTGTTGTTGATGATGTCTTTATCAGGTCAGGCTTGTCCAGTGTAACCTTCATTTTGCCTCGTAAAACTACACATGAGAAACTAAGGGGTGACGAAGCACCCTTAACCTTTTACAACAATTTTGGCTCGTCATATCCAATTAGAGACTCAAAACATTCTTAAAATGAGTGTATCTAATTGTCGAGAGTCGAGGGTAACATGTCGAGGGTCGAGGGTAACAAAAAATATATTAAAATAAAGTGAAAAATAAAAAATAAAAATATAGTATATAGTAATGAAATCCACTACTCTACAGGTGTTGCATAAGATATCTCACTTCAGCATAACGGGATCTTCCTAATTTGCTATTCCAAAAAATCAAGACCGTCTATTTACAAATATGTACTTTTTCAACAAAAGATTTAAAAACCATAACTGGCGAAAGGTTATAGCTTGGCAGGTGGTTTGTTTCACAGCTGCTAACTCAAGCATGGTGGATATTTTTGCTTGAACGTGTAAACTTACTGAGCGTAAAATTTGAAGTAATACCAGGGGAATGTAGGAGGAATATTCTCACAGCGCTTCTAACACTACATAGAATAGTCCAATGAGGCATTCATTAACAGAGAATTCAGTGTTCAGCGCTGTTATCTTCCCTGACGGCTGGAAGGTAGTATATGTGCAGTTTTGTGGCGATGAACTGAGAACACATCCTTCGTTTCACCTGATGTAATAACAGTTCATGAAGCGTTTAACATTTTAATTTCATCTAGCTACCCGGCGTCTCTACCAGACGACTTCAATACCTTTGCTGTTATAGCATCTAGCGGTTAAGAAGCTCCAATTTTCCCCTTGTTAGGTCATCTATTATTTCGTTCATCCGGACACACTAAGATGGAAGAATGAAATAAGGCCCTGAAGAAAAGTTTCTAGACTTTTTATCGCTAAAAACTTGAAACTATTCAGTAAGTACACGTGGTACCCCTTCAGAGTTTACTGAACCCTTAATAATCAGGTCAGCAACATGTTCGGAGGCCGGAGTTTAAACCCTTTGTTGTGTCACGTTACCTCATTCCTGTTCTGCAATGCGATTGGCTGAGACAAGGAAATCGCAATTTACGCGCTTTTTCAAGTGGTTCAAAGATCTCTTTGCGCTTCTGAAATTAGCCAACTAAAAAAAGGTGACACAAACAAATTTTTAAAGCATTAACTATCGGAACACTGAAATGGACGCTGGAAGGCTAAACTTTATGTAAAACTGAGGATATTTTTAAGACCTTCAAGAGACAGCGAAAAGTATACGAAAATTGTTTGGACAGTTCTTACGATCTGCGGGTGAAGTGGAAGCTAGCAAAGTCAAGTGGTCGACAGGAAGAGTTATCCACTACGTTCTCCGTATATAAGCACGTGCGCCGATGATGATAAATAGTTTTGGCAATCAAACACAGCTTTCCTCAATCCGACTGCAAGTGTTTGTCTAAACAATCCGGCGAACCTGGCAAACCAGCAGCCGTTTTTAAACGTCATTGTATGTAAACGTGCGTCCGTTTTGACAAGTGTATTTGCCCACCAGTCAAGAAACGGAAACAAACCAGTTGACAGACCAGTCCATGTGCTCTACCTTTTATCCACTGGTACGCAAACTCCGCCCAATTATTGTTTCTTCCGTTCTCCATTTGCACGTGTTTTTTCAAAAGAGTTTTTAACGTTGGCCCTGTTCTGGAACAAGCCGTCTTGGGCAGATCATGTGATCAAAGGTAAGTAGTAAGTGACATTTTAGAGAAACAAAACTGACACCCTTCAAATACAATGTCGTTTTCTGTCATTTTAACCGTTTCGATTCGCCGTTCAAGACTATACAACGTTAACTCCGATATATATATTTTATTATTGTGGTAAGCTGAATGTTTCCATAACTCCCTAAAACAGATCAAACTAAGAGAACCTGTGACGACCGCCCAAGGCGGTGGTAGTCTTAGCTTGTAATTGGCGACGGGTGTTTAAGTGGACAACGTCAGGTTAAATACATTATTGCGCTGGATTTAAACTACACTGAAGGCTTCGATTCTGATTTGAATTACTTCTCCTTCTAACTCAACAGTAACAGAATACGCCTCTTTCTCCTATTTAATTTGAATCAATGCATTTCTTGGTTGTGAAAAGTTTAGCGAATATCAAAAATTTGGCAAATACCTGTAAGGCGGCCTCGTTCTATGTATTGACCTAGTTTTGTCTCTAACCAGGAACCGTTGTTACCTTGCTGACCAAGGGAACGTTAATCGCAGGCTCGTACAGTAATCAAAAATAAGCTTTTAAAACCGCGAACAGAACGGATTGAGGATTATCCAGACAGAAGATTATCCTGAAATCAGCTTGAAGCTCTCATTTTGACGTAGAAATCTCTCAGGTTCTTAATGGGGGTGGGGTGGGAGGGGGTTAACTGGTGAAGATGCGTAGTGACTAAAATTGCATTTGTGTGTTAGCTGAAGGTTTAATGTTTAATTTTGACCTTTCACGCTCTGATGATGGTTCACGGTGATAAAACAGAGAGAAATAGAGAATATTCCTCTTTCCTGGTTGACGGTTAACATTGTTGAGATCCCTCTTATACTGATTACAAAATTTGCAGGAAAACCAGTCCTTCAGTATTGTTCTGTTATTCTGTTTTATCGCTGTTTTAGTTTATCGGTTTCTATCCTGTTTTAGTTTCATCATAGATGGAGCCCCAGGTCATGCCGCCAAACCAAGAATAGAATGCCTTTTCACTGTGTAGTTTGTACAGCCAGATACCTTGGACTCACACGAGGACTGCTAAGATGGCGTTGGACAATGATTACAATGATTGTGCTCTACTTTGTCAACTTACTCCATCCTTTACTGCAAGAAGAAATGCTGGCCTCCATTGAAAGGTCAGCTCTTTTCTTAAAATGCAAGGGATATATAGTTTGTCACATAGATAGCGCACTCGAAAACTTATCATAGACGAAGATTCAAGTTATTACGGGTTGTGGAAGTATAACGTTTTAAACAGATTTCCTTTAATTCTTATTTCTTCCATCAGCATTTACCAGCTCTTAGATTACTTTCTCTACTATTTTCCTTCGCTTTGTTCTGTTGAAAAAGCTAGAATTTAACTCCGAAAAGTTGATGATATCGCCGGTCGAGTCAACATTTTAATCTGCACGTATTGCATGCCTATGAGGGGAGACTTATGTTACTAAGGCCCACTTCAGACGTCGTGCTTCTGTCGTGCCGAACTAAATTGCAATTAGGTTCGACTACGGCACGGCAGAAAAACAACTCTGATTCAGACGTCGTGCCAGATTCAAACCAAATTTAGGATATACTGATGCCTCGTTACAATTCTCCTCCTAACTCCCCNTCTCTTGCAGTGACGAAGAAATGGAGAACAAGAGACTCTGTTTCTCTGCCTTTGCGTGTCCTCAGTGTAAGCATGCCATGAAACTGTTCCCTGTGAGTGATGGAGTCATTGGAACGTGTCAGAACCGCGAATGTAACTTGGAGAAAAACATGCTGGATGAGTGCAGACTGGCGCGCGAGGCAGAGTTGCTCTTTATTAAGGGAGTGCGGTTGTTAGAAAGAGTTGGAGTCAAGGAGGCCCTTGACGTGTTCCATGAATGTTTGCGGCGGCGGAAAATTCTTCTTCATGCGTATAACAAGGACCTGGCTGAAACACACGATGCCATTGCAAGGTACTAGTTTTAACTGTGTGGAAAAACCTTTTTCTGTTTATCGTGTGGTCAGGCTCAGAAGAAGGTAAAGATCCGCAGCCACTTGTGCTTTCCAAGAGGAAAGAAGGTGTGATTGGATGAGGGCGGGAGATGTCTGACATTTTAGGCTAACCTTTCGTTTGCCTTTTATCTGTTATTTGAGTCACGCAACATTCTTCAACTTCTTCTCTGTTGGTTCCCACAGGTGTTATGCCATGAATGGCGACTTCAAGAAAGCTTCTCATTACTGTTCTCGCAGCTGTGAAGCGGTGGAAAAAGCTTTCGGTTCATCAAGCGTGGAGTACGCACACGAACTTCACAAGCTCTCGCAGCTGTTGTTCAACGACAGACAAGTCAAAAAAGCACTCTCTACAATCGACAAAGCCACTAGTCTTTTGTCACGCCATTATGGACGGAGCAATCCAGACGTGAAGGAACTGAGTGAGATGAAACGCTGCCTTATTGCTGTTGGCGGTCATTCCAGAAACAACAGCACGTGACGGTCACGCAAGGGTTATTAGGCTTTAAAGTATACTTGTCGGACATTTCTAGAATAAAAAGTTTTTTTTCGTCTTTTGTTTCCGGCTTAGTTAGACGTTTGTGCTACTCGGGTGATACGATTGTGTGACGAGAGGTGCAAATCAAATTCACTTGAATCACACAATCTTCCAGGACCCAAGTTATCAGTTAGATGGAAGGAAAAGAAAGAAAAAAGAAATTAAAAATGGACGGGTTTACATGAAAGAATTTTGTTACGATTTTGTGAAAGTATCTTTTATACTAAAAGTTTGGTGTACAATTTGGTGTTGAGTTATTTATGTGTCAACTCCTGTAAGGGAGAAAGTGTCTTTAAAAAGAACGCGTTACTTGTTTTGTTTAAAAAAAACAGCAAGAAATGGTAGACTATAGAGTATGACGTAAATCAGAGAGATTCCAAGAAATACTATATACAAGTAGAGCAAAAAGTAAAGAACATTGAAGAACTAGAATTCATACTGGAAACGAGGTAGAATTTATTGTGTTGTTTAAAAGAAAACTACTAATGTCATTGTTTAGAACAAGGATTTGAGATGAAAAATGCCTACAATGCTTTATTCACTCTAAACACTTAAAACACATTTACATAGAAAGTGACAAAAACTACAATAACTTAAGAAATAGATATGTTTAAAGTTGAGCCAGGAGGATGAATGAACCTTGCGTTTCTACTTCCTGTTTCTCTACATGTGCAGAACACAGTTCGCGCTCTTTCTTTAAGACTGCGAGGGCCTCTTTCCTTCTAGAATACTCGACTTTTCTTACTGAACGAGGTGATTGAATTAAAGTTCAAAACGCTTTAACATCATGTTGTTGTTGTTGATGATGTCTTTATCAGGTCAGGCTTGTCCAGTGTAACCTTCATTTTGCCTCGTAAAACTACACATGAGAAACTAAGGGGTGACGAAGCACCCTTAACCTTTTACAACAATTTTGGCTCGTCATATCCAATTAGAGACTCAAAACATTCTTAAAATGAGTGTATCTAATTGTCGAGAGTCGAGGGTAACATGTCGAGGGTCGAGGGTAACAAAAAATATATTAAAATAAAGTGAAAAATAAAAAATAAAAATATAGTATATAGTAATGAAATCCACTACTCTACAGGTGTTGCATAAGATATCTCACTTCAGCATAACGGGATCTTCCTAATTTGCTATTCCAAAAAATCAAGACCGTCTATTTACAAATATGTACTTTTTCAACAAAAGATTTAAAAACCATAACTGGCGAAAGGTTATAGCTTGGCAGGTGGTTTGTTTCACAGCTGCTAACTCAAGCATGGTGGATATTTTTGCTTGAACGTGTAAACTTACTGAGCGTAAAATTTGAAGTAATACCAGGGGAATGTAGGAGGAATATTCTCACAGCGCTTCTAACACTACATAGAATAGTCCAATGAGGCATTCATTAACAGAGAATTCAGTGTTCAGCGCTGTTATCTTCCCTGACGGCTGGAAGGTAGTATATGTGCAGTTTTGTGGCGATGAACTGAGAACACATCCTTCGTTTCACCTGATGTAATAACAGTTCATGAAGCGTTTAACATTTTAATTTCATCTAGCTACCCGGCGTCTCTACCAGACGACTTCAATACCTTTGCTGTTATAGCATCTAGCGGTTAAGAAGCTCCAATTTTCCCCTTGTTAGGTCATCTATTATTTCGTTCATCCGGACACACTAAGATGGAAGAATGAAATAAGGCCCTGAAGAAAAGTTTCTAGACTTTTTATCGCTAAAAACTTGAAACTATTCAGTAAGTACACGTGGTACCCCTTCAGAGTTTACTGAACCCTTAATAATCAGGTCAGCAACATGTTCGGAGGCCGGAGTTTAAACCCTTTGTTGTGTCACGTTACCTCATTCCTGTTCTGCAATGCGATTGGCTGAGACAAGGAAATCGCAATTTACGCGCTTTTTCAAGTGGTTCAAAGATCTCTTTGCGCTTCTGAAATTAGCCAACTAAAAAAAGGTGACACAAACAAATTTTTAAAGCATTAACTATCGGAACACTGAAATGGACGCTGGAAGGCTAAACTTTATGTAAAACTGAGGATATTTTTAAGACCTTCAAGAGACAGCGAAAAGTATACGAAAATTGTTTGGACAGTTCTTACGATCTGCGGGTGAAGTGGAAGCTAGCAAAGTCAAGTGGTCGACAGGAAGAGTTATCCACTACGTTCTCCGTATATAAGCACGTGCGCCGATGATGATAAATAGTTTTGGCAATCAAACACAGCTTTCCTCAATCCGACTGCAAGTGTTTGTCTAAACAATCCGGCGAACCTGGCAAACCAGCAGCCGTTTTTAAACGTCATTGTATGTAAACGTGCGTCCGTTTTGACAAGTGTATTTGCCCACCAGTCAAGAAACGGAAACAAACCAGTTGACAGACCAGTCCATGTGCTCTACCTTTTATCCACTGGTACGCAAACTCCGCCCAATTATTGTTTCTTCCGTTCTCCATTTGCACGTGTTTTTTCAAAAGAGTTTTTAACGTTGGCCCTGTTCTGGAACAAGCCGTCTTGGGCAGATCATGTGATCAAAGGTAAGTAGTAAGTGACATTTTAGAGAAACAAAACTGACACCCTTCAAATACAATGTCGTTTTCTGTCATTTTAACCGTTTCGATTCGCCGTTCAAGACTATACAACGTTAACTCCGATATATATATTTTATTATTGTGGTAAGCTGAATGTTTCCATAACTCCCTAAAACAGATCAAACTAAGAGAACCTGTGACGACCGCCCAAGGCGGTGGTAGTCTTAGCTTGTAATTGGCGACGGGTGTTTAAGTGGACAACGTCAGGTTAAATACATTATTGCGCTGGATTTAAACTACACTGAAGGCTTCGATTCTGATTTGAATTACTTCTCCTTCTAACTCAACAGTAACAGAATACGCCTCTTTCTCCTATTTAATTTGAATCAATGCATTTCTTGGTTGTGAAAAGTTTAGCGAATATCAAAAATTTGGCAAATACCTGTAAGGCGGCCTCGTTCTATGTATTGACCTAGTTTTGTCTCTAACCAGGAACCGTTGTTACCTTGCTGACCAAGGGAACGTTAATCGCAGGCTCGTACAGTAATCAAAAATAAGCTTTTAAAACCGCGAACAGAACGGATTGAGGATTATCCAGACAGAAGATTATCCTGAAATCAGCTTGAAGCTCTCATTTTGACGTAGAAATCTCTCAGGTTCTTAATGGGGGTGGGGTGGGAGGGGGTTAACTGGTGAAGATGCGTAGTGACTAAAATTGCATTTGTGTGTTAGCTGAAGGTTTAATGTTTAATTTTGACCTTTCACGCTCTGATGATGGTTCACGGTGATAAAACAGAGAGAAATAGAGAATATTCCTCTTTCCTGGTTGACGGTTAACATTGTTGAGATCCCTCTTATACTGATTACAAAATTTGCAGGAAAACCAGTCCTTCAGTATTGTTCTGTTATTCTGTTTTATCGCTGTTTTAGTTTATCGGTTTCTATCCTGTTTTAGTTTCATCATAGATGGAGCCCCAGGTCATGCCGCCAAACCAAGAATAGAATGCCTTTTCACTGTGTAGTTTGTACAGCCAGATACCTTGGACTCACACGAGGACTGCTAAGATGGCGTTGGACAATGATTACAATGATTGTGCTCTACTTTGTCAACTTACTCCATCCTTTACTGCAAGAAGAAATGCTGGCCTCCATTGAAAGGTCAGCTCTTTTCTTAAAATGCAAGGGATATATAGTTTGTCACATAGATAGCGCACTCGAAAACTTATCATAGACGAAGATTCAAGTTATTACGGGTTGTGGAAGTATAACGTTTTAAACAGATTTCCTTTAATTCTTATTTCTTCCATCAGCATTTACCAGCTCTTAGATTACTTTCTCTACTATTTTCCTTCGCTTTGTTCTGTTGAAAAAGCTAGAATTTAACTCCGAAAAGTTGATGATATCGCCGGTCGAGTCAACATTTTAATCTGCACGTATTGCATGCCTATGAGGGGAGACTTATGTTACTAAGGCCCACTTCAGACGTCGTGCTTCTGTCGTGCCGAACTAAATTGCAATTAGGTTCGACTACGGCACGGCAGAAAAACAACTCTGATTCAGACGTCGTGCCAGATTCAAACCAAATTTAGGATATACTGATGCCTCGTTACAATTCTCCTCCTAACTCCCCGTGGGAACGCAATCTCGCCAAAATTCATTAATGTAATTTATGAATTTTGTTTGGCACGGCAGAAGCACGACGTTTGAATCGCTGCTGTGCCAGAGTCGTGTAGCACGGCAGAGCTTGTCGAACTTAATTGCTTGCCGAACTTAATTCAAAAGTTTGATTCAGACGCCGTGCTTCTGCCGTGCTCTTGTCGAACTTAATTCTTGAATTTAGTTCGGCACGGCAAAAGCACAACGTCTGAACTGGGCCTAAGTGATATTTTGATATCTATAAACGCCTTCCCTTAAATAGCTATATCGTCTTTAATGTAAATATTAATTTAAATGAACTTAGCATGCGGCCAACGCCAACTTATATCTACATGACAGTGACCAACTCGAAAGCTCATTGGCTACTTTGGTCGCTGTACACAATTAAATATTGTTTCTTGTAGTTAATTTCTATTTGTATTTATTTTTCCTATATCATTGTAAACCATCTTACGTTAAGTTTTTTCTGTAAATAGTGTGCGATAATAAAAAAAAACTGAAAAAATTGAAAAACTGAAAGCAATTAATAAACAGAAGGGCAAATCAATATCAATATAAATTATACCGAATAAAATACGAGTTTGAAATTCAACGTTTTGTACACGTAGATTTGGGGTGTGTGGAACAATGACAGTGGGGGAAATCACTCCAAACTTAGCTGAATATGTTGCTCTTTTTGCTGACATAGAGATCTTGAAGAACAAGGCCTGCCCACTGAGACTGTTACCCTCAAGCAAAAGATAAAACCGCCCATTAAGACTTGGCAACACCAAGCACCCAACTTGCTGAGCCCGCATGTCATGGAAAGCGGTTCGCTATCCCTCCGTGGTTGGTGGATGTCACACGTGAAATGGGAAGTGACTGAAATGAAACGTAAATCAAAACCCAATGTCAGACAGGCAAGTAAATAGTTAAATTCCTTCAAGTAAATGAAAGAAGAATGAAAATAGTATCGCGCAAAGCCAGTATTTGATACTGAAGTTTCCTGACGACCGCATTTGACTTGTGCAAATACTGTTCCCTGAATGGTTAAAGAGTAATCGCGTGACAGATAAGATAGTGGCTTGTCGAGTCATCAAAGTCTCTTAAAATAATCAGAGACCCACGTTTGATCCGCTCGGAGCCCTTGGAACAAACACAACAAGCAGTGCTGCTGTACTGTTTTGATATGGAATCCATGGGCACAACGCCGAATTTACTTGTGAGTCCGGGTTTTAGCGATGATATAACCATGCAATAACTTGGAATGTGGCAAAATGTTTCAATTTTCCCTTGCAGGTCTTCAGCGTGGCCTGCACTGTGCATAGGATAGTGGAGACATACCAATATCTCTCTGTAAGTTTGCGCTTTGAATTTTTGATATCGTGAGTCACCAGGCCAGCGAATAGCGGTGAAGCAACATACGGAAAATATGTCACTTCCCGTCAAGTAGCTTACCAACTTCATTTTTGTGTGATTGCCTTGTCATGATATGGTAGTCTGGATTGCCTTTATTTTAGGAACATGTCTTACGAGTAACCTCAGTTACACGCTGGGTTTCTCTGTTTGCATTCAATCCTTATCTCAGTTCTCAGTTGAAAGAACAAATTTCCATTGCCTTTCCATTTTAGCACGTTGCTAAGTTAACTTTGTTATCTACAGTTGAACAGGAGTATCCCGATAAAAGGAATCAAGTTCCAAGCCAGTTCTGCCTCATGGAAGATGGAGCGACCTACAGTCAGCTTGCTGAGGGTGCGCTGATTAATCTCATATATTCATTTCTGAATAATCTTTTATTGTTATTTCTTATTAAAGAAATGTTTGAGCTAAAAACGGTTTTGCAAAGACCTATTAGAAACTTAACTTTGCAGAAACTGGTCTTAATCTTTGAAATTGTCTTACAAGTAACACATTTGGTTGGGTCTCACTATTGACGTAAATCCTCGAATTAGCGCCCGGGGCGCTTATTTCAAGTTTAGGAGAAGACGGGGGCACTTATTCGAGGGGGGCGCTTATTTAATTTTTCCCAAATCGTGGCCTGACGTGATCATTTTTTAATACATCATCTGCGCGTAAACATTAACATAAGCTGTTTATTTATTGACATAAAAAGCTGATCCTAAAGTTTAAATCGCGGCACTGTTAGTATTTAACGTGTTCAACGTGTTCACTAAACGTGTTCACAAACTGAAACTATGTACAAATTTTATACTACATGACGAAAACTATACATCCTTTGTTGTCTCATTACTCATCTACAAAATGGGGGAGAGGGGAGGGGGCGCTTATTCGAGGGAGGGGGGGCGCTTATATTAAATTTCGGGCGATAGGAGGAGGGCTTATTCAAAGTGGGCGTTTGTTCGAGGGGGGGTGCTAATTCGAGGATTTACGATATTACTCTAGTTTATTGTTTCACAGAGCTACGAACCGTTTTATGGCGCTCGAATATTTGTGGTGCTATCAAGTGGAAAAAGAAAGCTACTCAAGTAAGTTGGTTGAGTAAAACTAGGAAAATGGTTCTTTAAAAGTTGCAGGCTCTTATTAATATTTTTCCTGGGTCAAAGAATATTGAAAAATTCAATCGGAATTTTTATTTCTTCACCTTAATTTTCACAGGCTGGATTTTTCAGCAGAATCTGGAAAAGTTATGAACAGGAAAACAGAATTTGTAAGTTACGAATAACGAACACATTTGAAGAGTTTCCGATTCTTATTATCCAATAGAAAACCGCCGAGCAAAGATGTAAGCGAGGTTTTCCTTATAAGGAATAGGCCATGTCGATTAGCAACGTTCCCCCAAATTGGCAGCTTTACTTAGTTCTGACTCAGAGACGTAAGGCTGAAAAAAATATTGCTTTTTCTTTTGGCTACTAGAAAGAATAAAGAAAATATAGACGGAAGCTATTAAATCAGTAAAGAACTCTGTCTTTTGTAGATCTCACCTCGAGGAGAACAAATCACCAGTGTCACGGTTATGTTGGGTTGCTTTGGATATGAGGGATATGTCACCTTCACTGACCTTGCGGTTAAACCTATATATGGTAAGTAAACCCATATAAGGACTTCCTTGCTCAAGATGAAAAAAGTCATTTTAGGAAAGATATGTATCTGAGTTATAGTAGTGAACAGTGATAAAATCTTTCTTGCAGGCATCTGTCACACTTCTTTAAATTTAGCTAAACTAGTCGGACACCTTCAACAGGATGATTTTTTAAAAAATATCTTATCTTTATTTGCAAAGATTCCAGACTGCTGAAAAACCACAGTATCGAGCCAAAGCAACTCTTAGAGCCGTGCCAAGCACTAAGCAAGAGACCACTTGTTGAGTCTGGAGATTTCCTCACTGAAATACTCTATTCAGCGTGTTCACCAACAGTACGTACAGTTCAGTGTTGCAAACCCTTCGAGTGATCTGCAAACTTGTTAACAGTCTCATGGCCAAAGCCCTCGCGGAGCGCTTTCGGGTTTCTGAACGAGAGGCCCTGAAGACGAGCTGTCGGTCATTGTCATGTATCCTAGATATTGGCCCAGACCACTTTTTCTAGTCATTATTTTCTTTTAAATAATTACTTAATCAAATGTATTGTTAAATTTTCGTAGATAAACGTCTTTTTGAAGGTTGCTCAGCCGATCGCCATTGGTGGTACAAAATGTAATCTGAAGAATAGTGCAAGGTTTTACGAAATCCTGTAAATAAAGTTGAACTTCTCTACAACACCTATACCTTGTGGTGAATACTAAACCAGCGCCTGAACTCATCTTTCTCGCCCTGAAAGCCTGGTTACACTTAATGTCAGAGTGGAGAAAGGGGATTTTTTGGTACTAACGACCTAAGACACTAACACAACTATATCACTGTGTCCAATAAAGCATAAGAACGGGGGCAAAGTGACGTAAAGATGGTCACACTGAAAATTTATCGTTTTACTCTTACTGTTAGGATTCTGACGCAGTCACTTTGGTGACACAGCTAACGTTCAATAGGATAAACATGTTGAAGAGGAATTTAAGATTCTGGACTGGTAAGAATTGATTAGCAAGTTTTAAGAGCTTTCCCTTCTCTAGAGTTAAACAAGCACGACAAGCTTGGCGAAGCTTGCTTTCTAACTAATCATTATGTAAAGGTCTGTAAATCTTTTCGTTTAAATCACATTTTCTTGGTAATTTCATTGTTAAAATTGAGTAAAAGCGCTTGCCAGCAAAAACTAAATTGATAGATATACATCAAGTCTTGAACTAAGCCTTGATGCCTAACATACATTGCTCGCCGTACCAACTGCGAGAATTTTATGAATTCGTATTTATGGCTGTGAAGAAATCGAATGTTGACCAGTAACTATTCAATTATCATTACTCATCGATCTTCTCTTTTTATTTCTTCTGCAGGTCCTCTGTCAATAGTAGTTTACGTTCATTTAGAAGACGCTAACGATATTGATTTCAAAAAGTAAGATAAAATGGTTTTAAAGTGGATGGTTTTCCCCTTTTTGAAGAAGTCTGGTTTAGTCCTTCCTTCACCATTTTTCAATCGCGTAAAGTTGTAAAATGATTTTAGTTGATATGTAGCACTGGGCTAGTCTACATTCTCACGCACTCTAAAACTATGAGTTACTCTGAAATTAAACGGTTTGAATAACAAAATATTCCAGACCTGTCATTTCGAAAGCTACCAGATGCCATTTAAACAAAACATCTCTGATGATGGGCTGTTTTGTTCTCAAACAAAAGGACAATTGTTGTTTCTGTTCTCCACATTTTTTTTTTACCACATTTGAAACGAGTTCTCTTTCAGGAGAGAGGTACAGATGCGATTACCGTCACCAATATTCAGCAAGTTTTCCACGGTCTCAGTTATGGTCATATATGGAAAGAAGGTAAATAGCAAATGCCTATATACCCCATATATGATCAATTCTAAAGTGCCTCATTTATTGAAAATTCAGTTTCGGGGGAGTTTCGGGTCATTGATTTTCAATTTAATCTGTACCTTCAGAAGAGGACATGCATGCATTGCAGACCTATATTTTTAAACTCGCCTTAGTTGATAAATTGTTTCTCTCCACAGATAGGTCCACAGTATCCAATCAATCGCCTCAGAAACATTGCAGTCAAGTAAGCAAAGACACGAGATTTACCTTCGTTTAGAATGCACGAGCAATCGGGAAAGAAGATAAATTTCAAGTCAAGACTGTAGTGCCATATCTATGATATGACAGTCAGACTATTACTCAGTAATTTTGTGTACTTTTTGTAAAGTTCTCTCTAAGTAGAAGCTAGTCATTTTTCACTCTTTTCTTTTTTTTTTCCTCAGAAATGTTAAAACGCAATATATTTTCATGATCGATGTGGATTTCGTTCCTTCGCCAGAATTAGAAACTATTGCAAGGTAGGTTGTAGGACCTTGTAGGCGTAACTTGCCTTTAATTATCACTTAAGGCAGGCTAAAAAAGGTTCAGTTAATGTCTGGCAAATGAAGTTCTTAAGTTTCAATCATTACTCACTCTCGTTTTAAATGTTTACTTTCAGAAATCAGATTCTTAAGTACAATGAGACAAGAAATGGTACCAATAACAAGGTTGCATTTGTCGTGCCTGCCTTTGATGGCGCAAGAAATGTGGTTAGTTCAGTTCTAGTTTTTAAGTAATCCTTTCTAAACTCCGTATATTGTACAGCGAGAAGCGAAAAATTGCAAGAAAAATTTGAACGCTGCGCAATTTGTAGAAATGAACGTCTCGCCTCGAGTTTTGCTCATAGAAAAAAAATAAACACTTAATCAGTCTTGATAGACTCTTTAAAGATCTAGCTAAAAGGCTCCATCTTACAAAGACCCGCAATGTATGATTAGTGCATGATTCGACTTTACTGATTATCACACACTTATGCTGGTCCTGATAGTTCGTGAGTGTTACACCACGCCCGGCAACTCACCCCTCCCCCTCCGTTAATGCTCGAGCGCCTGGTTAGTAATGACCTTACGGTTATGAACTTTTTTCAGAACTCTAGAGATCTTCCACAGACGAAGGAGGAACTTGTTAAAATGGTGAAAAGAAAGAAGAAATTGGCGCCATTTAGTATCCTTCGAAGTTGGTGCAATATATCTTAATTAATAACCAACAAGCTGCACTAGGATAAATGAATGGTGTTCCAAAATTCATTCCCTGACACCATTAGGCGTGGAGGCTGGGGCGCGTTCGGTGAAACGTTGCAGGTTTACTTGGTCAATAGATTCCGTATAGAATTCCAGTTCACTTTTCACCTGTTCTTTTATAACTCCTTGACTCGCCTCAGGACAAATCGAGTCTCCTTTGTCTCATAGCTCCACAAACTATACCAAGTGGTACCACATCAATGAGTCATATGAAGTCAGCCGTTATCAGGATAAATACGAACCTTACTTAATTTTAAGGTGTGCACTGCAAAAGAGCTTATTATGGGAAGATTTTCCGTTAAAACGAGTTACTTTTTCGTAAACGATTAGTTCTAAAGTCATTAAGTACTCTAGATAGTCTAGATAAACTGTATAGTTTCTTGTGTTTTATATCTTCTTCTGGCCGGGGTACGTTGATCTAGTTTACTTTAATTTTGGTCCTTCTTTACCGCGAATCTTGTGAGGGGCTCTTCACGTAAAGGCGAAAATTGTTCATCTTTTGGGCTCTATTATGTTTTGCCAAGAGACGATCAACTCTTGGTTTTGCTAGCTGAAGTATTGGCTTCATTCTCGTCCCCAGAGGCCGCGCTCCTTTTGGTCAGCACCAAGAATCGCGATCTCTGGCCGGGTCCGATTCTCTGAACATGCGCAGAGAATTTGTTTCGTACTCTCAGCCAATCAGATCTGTCAAACTTGACTTTGAGCACGCGTAGAGTGACGGGAAGTCCGTGAATCGCGGACTTCCTGTGTTGAACCTTCCCAGAGGTCGCGATTCTTGGTGCTGACCAAAAGGAGCGCGGCCTCGGGGGACGAAAATTTATTGGCTTATGTTAGTACCTTACTTGTCTGCTGTAGAATAAGACCAAGGTTCAGTGAGCTCTTGTACCTTTCTCCTTTTGTTGACATGACGAGATTTGGAAATTCTTGTTTTGCAGATTGACTCCTGAACTTCCGCTGTACGACGAAAGGTTTACTGGTTACGGAATGAACAAGATTTCTCACGTCATAGAACTCGCACTACTGAGGCAAGTCACCCTTAGCCTCGATTTCATCGTTTTTTCTGTGCACGCATAATCGTTAGACGCATTCGAGAGCTTTAAAACGTTGTCTCAGCGGTATACAGTGCGCTTAGATTCACTATGGGGAATTCCTTATCCAGCACAGCTGCAGGTCGAACTCTTCACAAACTTGTCCTTTTAGCTATAGACAAACACCATTTCCACGAATAAACAGCTTCGTTCCCAGGGCTTTCCCTTCCCAATCTCTAACGGAGAAGCCCTGGGAACGAGGTTGATGAGGGTAAGGGAGGCGAAAAACACTCTCCCTCCCCCTCTTCCCCGTTTAATACCTGTTTAAAAAGGTTATGAATACACAAAGGGTTAATCGACAATTTCCCTCCGACCGACCTCACACTAATTGATCAAGCAGAAATATTTTCCTATCATTAACGTGTATATTTTGATTTCTCTCAGGTACAAATTCATAGTGCTGCCTAATGTTTGGATTGTTCATCGTTACCATACATTGTCACCCCTCTCATTCGCTCATTTGACGGTGAGTGTTTTGAGTGTTTCATTTTCCACATTTTCCTGCCACAGTCAAGGCGTCTTTTAGGGTGTCTTTCCTCTCATGTTAGACTTGTTATGATGTTGGCATTTTTCTATAACTGCGAGATCCACAACATTCGGTAGAAAATGGAAAGAGTGAGAGAATAAAAGTTGGCTGTTAAATACCTTTTAAAACTTTCTTTGCTCTTCTTCAATACTTCTAGGATCCAGACAGCAGGTTTGCAAATCGACTTCAGCGCTTTGAGTTTATCAGTGATTTATACAACAAACACAAGATCGGTCACTGCAAGGGTGCCAAGAACCAGTAGCTTAAGACTGAAACAAATTTGCTGACACTTAAAACTGAACATTGACGAGAAATTTTCCTGATGGTGGATTTTTCAAGCAAGGAGAGTGACGTAGAAGAATCCATTCAAAGACAGACACGCCCTGTATAGACAAATATACAACGGCATGATTCACACTTAGATGTTGGTCATCATTCCACCGACAGATGGATGAAGTTTAAACGCAGATTGCCCACCGAACACTAAAAAATGACCTTCTTTATAATCTTTCTCTAACTATTAATGGCTGAGGAAGGTAGCAATCCAAGGACATGCAAAATTCGACAAGCTAAAAACTCCTGACCCATTATGGATTAAGATTGCTAACCAAGCTACACATATCATTTGACACCAGCTCCTTTCTTGAACTAGCAAATTCGAAGTATTTTGTAACTCTGACGACGTCCCACTGGTCGTTCCATATTCATTTATATGGTCTGTTCACAGACGTTTATTTTTTGCTATGAGCTATTTATCATCTTGCCCAACCCCCTTGCGTTTTGGCTCATTCATATCCCACGCGCCGGGTTAATATTTTGCTAAGCTTGCGATCACGACGATATCCTGTCAACAAGCTCCGGCTGGAATTCGAAGGGCCAAAAAGGGGGAAGTGGCCGAGCGGAGAACGGGGTGGGGGTTAAGGCGTCTCTCCTCTCTCTCTGCTCCTGTCTCTTCTGTCCTTTTTCTTCCTACTTTCTCTTCGCCCCATCCTCGACTCGAGAACCTGTTTACAGGCTATCAGTACGACGAACTCAAGGGTCTGCGGACAGACTAGCACTTATATGACCACAATCTCGTGTTCACTTGTTGCGAAAAAATTGAGTGCCAACGAAATTGAAATGACCTGTACCTTGAACAAGGAAATAGTTATATTTTTGTGCTTTGCTGTATACGCTGGGAGAACAAATTCCCCCCAAGCACAACCGCATTACCCTTACCACCTTGACTTGCTTTATAAAGTCTGTTTGCTTTATAAAGTAAGGATATTTACTTGTCCAGAGTTTGTTAATCTGTATTTTGTCTTCGTACAGGCGCGGATCTGATACCGAATTCCACCGTTTTACGGAAATTGGTCAGATGTTTCAAAATGACTCGGATAACCCCTTAAGGAGACTTCAGGGATAACAAATTCAGAACATTTCCGGTTCATAAGAGAGCATGGCCCTGGACCATGGGCTCCTTCCCTGGACCACTCTAGAACGCACTCGTTGTTTCGAAATCAGTCACCATTAATCCTAGATCCGCGCCAGTGATGCATAAATGTTTGCAGTTCGAATATAAGACATCTTTAAAACAGATAAAGTTGAGACACATCTCCAAATAATATTATAAAAAAATATCGAGTTACACAAGTGCACGTAATTGCTTCTGCCGATGAACGTGTCAAATATTTAGCCAGGCTATTCCTGTACAATCAAAGTTGCCATATTTGATCTACATGTATTGACAATACGCCAAAGCAAAACTCTCCTTGAGTATTCTAGTAATATGCAATTGTGAGCCGGATTCTTTAACAATTATTCCTCGAGCGCTCGTTGGATATGAGATGGTAGATAGCCAACGAGGCGCGTTGCGCCGTCGGAGTTGGCTATAACCATCTCATATCCAGCGTGCGCCAGTGGAATAACTGTTTTATTAAAAACGCATCCAAATTATAATATATTAGACTCAAATAAAAATAAAAAGCGCCCCAAAAAATCACGCGTACGCTTACCTAATTAGAAGAGCATGATATAATGGCTCATAACCTATGATGGCGAAGCCAATGAAAACTCGCGAATTGCATTATCCAATGATCTAGTTTTTAATAAACAGGATACAACAGGTGTTCTTGAATACCTCAGCTCCGAAAGTTTCGTTATACGCGGCTTGTGCTTACAGTGTATCTGTATTCGGGTACATACGGGTCGGAAATTTTGGCTTTTTGCGCAGATCATAACAAGGTAGTAAAAATTAAATTAACCCTATCACTCCTGTATTCTCCCTCCCCTAGTCAAATAGCTATAAAACGCTACAGATAGTTTTTCTCTGGGTGTCAGCTCGAGAAATAAAATAGAAGACCTTACATTTTCCTCCATGAGGCATTGTTTCAATTTTCTGCTGGGGTTTGCGCACAAAGCCAACCAAATACCAACCTTCTCCAGGTTTATTAAAAAGTGGAGGAACTGGAGTTTGAGGTATATTAGAAGTAAAAATATCAGGTCAAATTGAAAAACATCGGTATTTATGTAAGCAACATCTAGGAACACATTTTATCAAGATTAAACTTTATCTTGGCCTTTCTCTTTACTACTCACTTCTATAAAACTTGTAACAGAGGATGGTACTTGGCCACCCGAAATAAACTAAGAGAAAACTAGAGCGATTTAGCTCTCGCTTAAATTTTAGTTTTCCATTTGTTTTTTTTTCTGTCTGAGGCTTTGGCGAGGCAGGAATTATGGTTTCTGTTATGATCAATTGAGATCACGTAAAGAGTTAGTTTTTGTTGCGCGGATGAATGGTAAGTAAGTAATTTTCTGCTAGGGTTTGAAAGGAATGGAAGGAAGCCAAGTAAACAGAGGGCCTGGGTACGAGCTTTGCATGCCATGCCTAGGGGGTCAAATGCATTGCAGAAATGATACAAATATACTAACATTTCTGCATAGTCAAAGGAAATAACAAGTTTGCACGCATTCTTAGTTTGAATACAAGGAAAGACTTCAAGTAGCGTTGAAAACAGTTTAAATCCCCAACTTTCCTCCTCAATACCTGGTTCTGTAGTCGTGGCCGAGTGGTTAAGGCGATGGACTAGAAATCCATTGGGGTCTCCCCGCGTAGGTTCGAATCCTGCCGACTACGACGACACTTTTTTTCCCCCTTTAAAATTCTCTCAGTTATCCATTTTACCGACTGTTTGGGGAGAGCTCTCTAGAATAAGTGGCATTTGCTTGAAATAATTACTCCTTGCTTGAAAACGAACATTTTTCGACAGTAAAATTTAGAGTGACAGGTGACAATACTACTGAATACCACTTGGAACTGTTGGGATCCAGATATCAGCTTTTTTCCCCACCATAATTCAGTTTCAGCCTTAAAATCGAAACTGGGCCTTGCTAGAATACGCTTTTGGCATTAAACTACGAAAAGCCATCGGTTCGACTTCCTCTGAGATGTGCCGAATTACCGCGAGCGAGTATCGGAGAGCTACTTTTAAACAAGTAGCGACTCGTAACTACTGGAACAAGCGCTCGTTTCACTTAATTAGAAAATAAAAGGAATTTCTTAAACCCAAATCAATCGGCAAGATGCGTTAATGAACATCAACTTTGCAGTCCACTTTGGCAGCATATCTTGCGTGACGCAACGTCATTACTACTTGTCACGCATGCAAGGTGTCAGAGAAGTTATTCAGTTCCAAACAAGTTTAGGGCAAACATGAAACTGGCGCTAGCGGAAAACCTAGAAAGAAACGGTATATTTGAAATTAGACAGCACTTTTTTCCACTTAGGAGTATAACAGGTATTGGTGATCTGATAGAAAAACCTGACAAAACGCTTGATAACCTGCAATGGACTAGTATGGCACATCATTGGGGGAGTGGCCAGTTAGCCTAAGGCCGACTTGAGCTTTTGCCAGTCTATATATTTACTCTATTTTAGTATTTACAAATAGTTTAAAGAGTGTTCGCACAGGTATTCAAAGGGTTCTTTACAACAGTAGAATAAATACTAACCATTCAAAGTACAAAGTTCAAGAAATCATGACGATAACAAAAACTACAGGCTTCCTGAACATCACTCCAGAGCTGTCAATGCATCTTTCCCAATGTGTTCTGAGTGCAGGGGTACATCCAGATGTGCTGAAAGGGTTGATGCTGATGGGTTTGTGGTGTATATGATTTTTCTTGGTTTAAATGTAAGAAGAGGGGGAGGGGGAGGGGGAGATGGAGGGTGATGAGCATCCCCCCCTGCATCATCTCCCCCAGATCCACCACTGGTATTTACATTTATTATCTACTGTTAATTAAGCTTTTCTCATGATGAGGAGTCAAGTGCAACACCACCATTGTGCCCAGCACCAAAATCCACAGCAAAATAAGTAGGACAGAGTTCATGGATATCACTTGGCAAAAGAGCCAAAATATAAACAAGTATATCAAGGTTCTGTAAGAAGCTAAAAACCGAAGACTAATCTGCAGGTGCTGGGAGGACTGGACTGGGGTTGTTGAAGACTGTCTTACAGGGGTGGGGGAAGAGGCAGACTTTAAACCTGGTGACATCAGGCAGGCAACACTTCTGAAGAGTCTTGAATTTGTGTACATGTTATCCAGTCTTTTGCCAAACTGGAAGTGGAGAAACAGTTTTAGTATGTTATACTCAACCAGATACCAATAGTCTCAAAAATAGAAGCAAAAGACCAACAGAATGGGTATAGGTATACTAATCATATCAAAATATTCATCACAAAATTGTCATTGTGACTGCTGTCAATGATAATTTCTGCATATGATCACAAGGAATGTAGAGAATTTGAGGTTTTAAAGTTAAAGACTTTAACAACCTTTTCATTAAGATGAGTGGAGAGCTTGAAGAACAGTCGTACTAATGCTGGATTTTCAAAGCTGCAAATGGGTTGTAGTTCTGGATCACCACTATATTTCACTTCAAACTTGCGAAGACCATTCATCATCTGAAAAAAAAAGCAATGAGATTGATATCATGTCTACAGGTTTAGTTTTTGACTTGCAGAAAAACGTTATTGACGACCATTGATAGATCACCGAGTATGATGCCAGTCTTGCCTGTTTCTTAAAATGAACCCCAGTTTCACATTATTTCTTCATTATTTTATATCACGTTATAATATAGATAGGACTCTGCAAGCACTCTGATTGGTCAAAAAACCATGTTTTATCAGAGTATAAAACATAGAAAAAGTGTGTTTTATTGTTTTGCACGTGGAAAATCTATATCATAAAGCAAATAAAGAAGCCTCAGCTGTGTATTACACTTTGATCAAACACTCCCGACACTTGAGAACATTCAAGAAATGTAGAAAACACTCGCCTGCGGCTTGTGTTTTCTACAATTCTCTTGTGTTCTCAAATGCTTGTCGTGTTTTATCACAGTGTAATACACGGCTTGGGCTTCTTTATTTGTCAAATATCACATCATAAAAAAAATTAATATCTACACAATGTTAATCCCACATACTTGATATCGCCCCAGAGGAGTTGGCACCAGTCCTCTCTCAGTCTCAACATGGTCTGGCAGGGAAGTTTGGGAACCTGGTAAAGTAGGGTGTCTTCTTCCAGATACTGCTGAAGTGGTCTCCCATTGTATGGAATTGTTCAATATGCTAGCATCAATGGAATCTACAGTCTAAAAAGGAAACACGACTGTCATTACACCAATCCAGGAATATAATTCTTATTTGCAAAGCATACTGACCCTTACGATGCGTGTCAGTAACTCAGAAGTCTGCTTTAAGTTAGACACAAGTTTCCCCTCTTCAGATTTTCTATCAAATTCATTCTCTTGCGTACTACCACTGTTGAAGATGTTTGTAAGCAAACCAACAATGCCCCCAGTGTTCTCTTCAGGTTCCTGAGCTGCTTGGCTATTACTATTTGCCTCATTAAGGGCAGATAACACTCTGGAGTGAAGTTCAACCATCTGTAAAAACATGAATAAGACTGTTATCAACACCATGGGTGTTTTGATAGAGATGCTTTTCAAGAAGTGGAGACATCTTAAGAGGATCTTAGCTTTCTTTTATTGACCCGTATTTCCATATCAAAATGATTAATGATTGTTGAATTCTGTCTCACAGTTGTGGCACATCCAGGTGAGATCACCAAAAGGCATGACGGTCTTTTCTTGTTTAAAAATAATGGGGGATCTTTGAGTCAGAGAGAGAATTTTCTTACTCAACAAAAGGGGAAGGGAGTAAAGATTTTATATCTTTTTGATCTCTGATTGGGGGAACAAGCAAAATAAATTTGCAAATGAGATAGACACACACACAAAGAGTCCCCTGTCCTTGTTCCTTGCATCATAAAATTGTTCATGCATGAGACAAGGCTAAAGCGCCCCTTGTTACTAATTTAAGGTTTAATACAGGTCTGGAGGGGATCAGATCTTTACCTCTTGAGCAAAGGCTCCTCTGTTTTAGTTTTTTATCTAAAGAAACAGAGAAGTAAGAAGGTAAGGTCTTAATGACTTAAAACCTGACCTTTGTGGCTCCTGGCTGTTGGAACACTGATTTGAATGAGTATGAAGGTCCTTCCAGCTCTGTAATATGTGCCTTGATGGCTGAGCTTGATGCAGTTAAGCTAGTTTGGGTGGCACTCCAGCGATTTCCAGACGGAGCTAAAAATGCATTTTCTCCTGGTAAATTAACAAAAAGAATGCAATCAAACAAGGACAGTAATGCTGTGCTTACACCTGGTGAAGTTAAGATTAATAGTCTCAAGGTTCAAAAAAATAGGCAGTATTTGAAGTGGAGAGGTTAAAGTATTTATAATTTACATGACTCAGAACATTACTTCATTCAGCTGGGAGTAGTGCTGAGAGCAGGCAAATTTATTGTTAATTTCTAATTTGCACTGGAGTGCAAATTATTGTCAAGTGTGCATGTTCGTAACTGTCCCAGCCGTATAATAAACGAGTACTTGTATGACAGCTCGAGCAATTAAGGATTTACACTACAAGTGCTATTTGAAAATTTTGTCAAATTGCACTCCCTTAAAGGCTTGTGCAGTTTTGCAAGAATGTTTGAATATCGCTTGTAGTGTGAATCCTTAAAATCATTGCACTTGCATTCATAGGATTACCTAAAGATACAAATGCACAACTGTCTTGCCACACTCTTGCCCAAGGGTAAGATTGATTGTATTATTATTACTCTGGTCTTTTAGCAAGGGGCAATGGTTTTTAGTCACTAAAAATCAAGTATTGACAAAACCTTAGGGCAACACTTTATATCAACATGATTGAATGCAGCTCCAACAATCAACATTCCTTGTCTACAATACATAATAATTATGATACAAACCTTCTTCAATCATGTCCACCAAATGTGACTGAGCAAATACCTAAAAAACAATAACTTTTTTAATGCCATACATTGCAGAACACTTAATAACATTGGTTTCATAAGTCACTGGAACACCCACTCCTTTCCTCTGTTCAGTTTGTACTGTTAATTGCACTTTGCTCTGTGCATTTTACTTTCCTGACAACAATAATTGAAAGGTGGGTAGGGGAGAAAGAATTATTGGAACACTTGCTCTATTTCCTCCCCTTAAATATATACAACATTATGCTGGATACTGCAAAAGGACTATCAACAATACATTATAGGTTGTTATCATCGTCATCATCATCAGTCCTCATTGTGCCATGGGACACATATTAGGTTTCATTGTAAGTTGTCTGGAGGTCAAAATAGTTCGTAATTGATATTTGTGAAATCAAAATTGAAAATTAGCTTGAAGTTTGATAACACTAATAATTCTAACTGTCAAGGTTGGTTTTAACAGGACTGTTCGCTTACTAAATGTAACATGTACAATGTACCAACAAGAAACCATCTGCCGTAAAAACTTTACTGTGAACTTTTAAACAAATAACATTAAATATAACTAATATTTTCAACTAAACCTCAATACCTTAATGACTCTAAAGAGTAGATGAGCATCTTTAACTGAGCTAAGATTGAAGCGACAGGCACGGGACACAAACTCAAACAACAAGGCTGAGTAGAACAGGAGGTTGTCAAAAATAAAAGATTTCCTAACAAAGAGAATAAACACAATTAACCCTCAGACAAATACACAACCACTTCAGGCATATTAACAACCACTAGCACAATAACTGAATGACAAATTTTTGTGTCCTCTTAAATAAGGTAGATAAACTTGTGAAGATGAGGGCTTCAGAGGTTCCATGGCACCTTTACTCACTTAAAGACTGAAGCACACACCTCGAGTAAAGCTGTTTGTTCCAAAGGGTTACAGTTTTAACTGTAAACTTCTCAAATGATACAGGACAGATCAAAGCCCTACAACTTGATTGCAGCAACTTCTAACAGAGATTGTGATCACACCATGTTTCATATAGTAATGATTACTCTGAAACTGTCCTCATGGGTACAGGTCCAGCAAAGGTAGAACTGAACACTTTGATCACAGCAAGAAAATACAACAGAGGACTGAGAGGTAACAAATAGAGCACTAACTTAACTTCATGATCGTTAGCTTTAGTCCTAGGAGGTCTCTGTTTTCTAGTATTCTTGACAAAGTTTACATACCACTTGAGTTAATATCAGGTCTCCTTTAAAGTGCCACTGAAACGAAATTTTCGTACTCTCTTTTTTTAGCCCAATTTATAGTTTCAAACGTGCTTAAAATAATGGTGAACTTTATTTCTGTCAAATCCTAATGGAAAGTGCTCTTTTTAGCTGCTGAAATCGACTTTTTGGAGCAAAACTGTGTCCGGGCTCTGGAACCGAGTT